ATTTCTAAAAACTGTAGCTTTTCCACCGTGACTTAATTTGAAATTAAGATGCAAACACAAAATAAGCAGCTAATTAAGCAGCAGTAACCACTGTAAATGGAGAAACTCCCCACTGTTTGGGCAGCAGACTGACGGGAATTAGCAGCAGTGGAAGTTAGCTTATAGGAATCCACTTTGGAAGGCACACAGAGAAAATCTGTGGTACCAAACTTATATCATAAGAACAAAATGACTTTGAACACATGCTTGTGTCTGGGCGGTACTGCAAGAAAAAAAGTAATTCTCTCCAGGTAGGGGGGCAACATTACCACTAACATTTCTTTGTCTAATGCAGCTAAAGTTCTCACCTTTCATGTCATTTTCAATTAACAACTCATTAAGACCTAAAAAAAATGACTTCTTACTCCAACTTATTTAAAATGATAATGACAATTTCTTAAAACTGTTGTTTTAACAAAAAATTCCACCTCTGTGCTTGTTTTCAAGATAAAAGTGGTTAGATATTTTAAAAAAAATAGACGTCAACATATTATGAGAATATTGCAAGTGGCAGTTTTAAGACCAGTCCTATACTCATTTGGTTTTCCCTCTTAGGACATAAGCAGTCATGCAGAGGTTTAAAGTTGGAGCAGATGTTTTGAAATCAGAATTTGAGCCTTGGACGGTGGTTTAAATAGCGTACAGAAGCCCAGCTTTGCCTGAACCTTCAGCCGTAGGTCTTCTGGGCTGTGTATCTCAGTGGCACTTATAGCACCTAACTTTGATCCATTTCAGGTTCTCTGGGGCTGGGATACTTTAGAAAACATGTTCAGCCTAGGCAGACAGGATCTCCAAACTTCTGGATAACCCAGTCTGTTAAAATAAGCCTTCATGAGACCTTACAAGGGCTTGGAAGAAAAAGGCCGAGACAAACCCCTGTACAGGGTGTAAAGGGTAAAGGGGTTTAATTTGTTCGGACACGTGTACATTTCCCCAACAGAGCTATGAAGACATTCCCTTGGATGTTCCTGCACAAATTGCTACATCACGAGGAGGTATTCTCACCTAATAGGAAATATCTTAAATAACACACATAAATAACCATCATGTTACACAGCGTCTCACATTTAAATTCAACAGCTAAGCACCAAATAGTATTATTTAACAATACCGTAGAAGAACTCATTTTAAAACATTCACAAAGTCCAGTCCTTGACACATTTTGGGAATTTGTTAAGTGGTATGAATAATTTAAACTCCCCTTGCCTTTTTTAAAATAAAAAAACAGGGTTATTCTAACCTTTCCTTATCCAAGACTGGATTCCTTTAGTTTGTGAAAAAGCATTTATATTTCTCTCACCCGAGCTGAAACTGTGTAGAAATGTTTCTTTCAAGGGTCAATGTATTTCATGGGGTTTCTATACAGTTACAGTTGTAGCCATATAAACCAGACATAGCAGTCAAATAAAGGAGAAAGACAAAGAGCCAATGCCTTCTATGTAAATTTAGCTACATGTAAACACTTTTGCATTGTCATGCAACTATTGGTAGTTTTCCAGTTTTTCTGTGGACTCTATCCCCATCACCCTAGTTTTCCTTTTACCCCTTTGACACCGAAATCATCCACAGCCTTCCTATGACCAACAATAAGTCCAGACCCATAGCAAAGAAGGTTTAGTTAATAACATTCAAGTTTTGAGAGTGGAGGTATTTAATTCCCTTGGAAAGATCTGACCATTAGAAAACCCATCACCAATTAAAAAACGCTCCCAGCTAAAGTTCCTTTGGTCAGCTGCTTAAACCAAGGCAGAAAACAACAAGATTCACATAGGAGTCTGAAAGCTCATGGCTCCTTCTGGCTCTCGAGTACAACGCGGTTTTTCTGTTATGGCTGTGCCTACAGAAGTGACTGGAGGAGCCCTGGAAGTTAAGTCTCATAAAAGTGTCAGTTTTTTTTTTTGCTTACTTGGTAACTAACCTCAGTATTATCACATACTAGGTGCAGGTACCTCAGAGGTCAAGAAACTCCTATAGGAAAAAAGTGGGTGTTTTACACAGTTGGCCAGTGGTGCTCCCTAAAACGCTATAGGGAAACACCCTTTCCAAGTAAATAGATAAACGAGGTGTGTTCTTCTTGAATTTTACAAATTTTCATTTGTAGTTAAAAAAACATTTCATTGGAGAGACAGCATCACAGGAATGGCTGGTGTTAAATCCAGTTCAAATATGCTTTGAAACAAAACCTGATGAAAAACAATTCACAAAATTCTGTATCCACCTCCACAGTTTCTCCCATGATCCAACCTCCTTTCCACCACCGTCTGTCAATTCAAGGGCGCCATCTACTGGTGGAGTCCAAACCTGCAGCACACTGAAGCAGTTCATAGTCCCTCACCTCACAGCTCATCCTTTTTCCTACAGACATCGAAACAACTTATGTTCTTGTGGCTTCTATGATTTTGAATAACTTTTTTTTAATGAAACGGAGAACAACCTCCCCAAGCACCATGTGCTCAACAAAGTGCTCTCAGCACCATTTGTGTCCTTAATGTACACTAAAATCAAAATTCATGCAGGAAAAGCTACAAGTTAAAAATCTAGAGATAGCTTTTCCTCTTACAAAATAGTTCTGGAGAGTTCACGGGACAGATTTTTCTGGAGAGTTCACGGGACAGATTTCCGTGCAGATCACTGGGAAAGCTATTTTTTTAGGGAATTTAAAAAATAAATGTAAGTGACAAATCTGCCTAGATGTGAACTGATCAACCCCAGCATGCTTGAGTGGATAGGTTTTTTTTGTCAGTTGCAAATGATGTCCTGCATCACAGTGGCTTTTCCTAATCCACTTCCTGTTGCCGCTACTGAGAGCATGAGAGGTCAAGGGTCAGCCAGCAAAGGCCCTCCAAACTGCTGCACTGTAGACCAGAAATCTGTGAGGATTGTTTCTCTAAAAACATTCACTCTGTGACATTCAAAACAAACAAACAAAAAAGATATCCTCCAATAAAACATTGGAAGTACAAACACGTAGACGAAATAAATAAAAAAAAAAAAACACATTCCCTCCAAATAAAAGTTACATGTCCCCGTTCCTGGCTTGTGGAACAGCGGTCTTAAATCGGGAGACTCGATCAAGGAGAATGAGTTGCACGCCCAGACGAGCAGGCACCGGAAGACTGTTCTCCATGAACAGGACTGCACAGCCTCACTCCTCGTCAGCACTCTTGAACATGAGGATGGAGTTGTAGATCTTCAGGGCCGGGCCCAGCTTGATGCTCAGGATCTTGACAATGTCCGCCTGGGTGAGGAGCAGGAAGGCCTCGCCGTCTATTTGCTGCCAGACAAGAGGACAGGGCTGGCTTTTATTTACAGAATAAAAGGAAAAAGTCAAACTAATTTACAAGGTTCTAACCATTGAAGCATCCAGCTTTAGGGTAAGACTCCAGAACTAAAAAAACAGACATTTCTGGACAGGGCTCAGAAAGAAGAGCAGCCACAGTACTCCTAGAACAGCAGCAGTGGTTAGGGTTCTGGACCTACAGCTGGAAGGTTGTAGGTTCGAATCCCAAAGGATGACGAGGCTGTAATATCTCTGAGTGAGGGACTCGCCAGTAAAACTAACAAGAGGAATAAATTGGTGCAATAGTAAATCACTTTGGATGAAACTGTCAGCCAGATTAGAAGTAAGTGATACATGTGCAAGTTGAGTGAAATTAAGTTCTTCAGGCTGACCTCAGTTCAAAAGTCTGATGTTTGACCCAACCGTTACTTCAAGATCAAAACAGCAGCCAGGACAAACAGACTTGGTAGAACATGATTAGCTATTAGACTCAATGACCATCAGATGAATCACGTTATATATGATCCTTCCAGGAAACAGCCAGAAGAGATTCTTATAACTATGCAGGAACTACACAAGACGGACAGACTACATGTTATAATCTGGGATTTAGTAGCAAGACAAAAAGGCTGAAGTGAAAATGTTTAATACCTGGTTACCCAGTCCTCTGTTTAGGTATTTGTGAGTTATGGCTAAGGCTACAGAACAGCAAGAGGAATGTAAATGAGAAAAAGAAGACACCAAAAGGAAAACCACCCTTACCTCACTCCTGAAAACAGCAGCATGATCTTTGCAGCCCGGCAAGCCTCTGACGAAGCTGGTGACCTAATTTAAGAAGGGAGCATAGCAGCAAACCCAGCTATTAGTCATGTAGTCCCTAATCCCTTGACAGGAAGTAGAAAGCACAGACCTCCTAGAATCAGGTTCAATTCTGCCCTTTCTGGGATGAAAACATCAGCCCTGCTGTGTGGCCAGTGGCAAATGCAGCACAGCACCCCTGCTGTCTACACAGAGACATGATGACACTGCTTAAGGATCAAAACAGACCTCAATTTATACCTCTCAACGTGTGTAGTAACAGGGGGCTGGCTCCCAAGCAGCCACTCTGTGACGAGGTGACTGCTAGAGTTGGGAGACTAGGCAGCCAATCAGGCTTTTTGCAATAGTGCTATAGAGTTGTAGCCTTGCTTAAAGCTAGCTGCCCAGTCTTATGTAATGAGACTAAAACTACAAAACAATCGCACAGTGGACCACCAGCAACTCAATTCAGTTACGAGCCTAGATGAACAGCGGGTCATTACAGAAGACCATCTCAAAGGAAAGATTGATTGCAAGAACTATATTGAGAAGCACAGTCCAGGCATTTCCCCGGAGAGTTAAGCAGGTTTGGCTCTTTGTCAAAGCTCCCCAAATGGCAGTGACAAGTCTTCCGGAGTCCAGTTACCTCCTCAGTGGTCCACTTGGCCACTTTTTTGGCAGAGAGGCCCAGCACCTCTGGCAGCAGCTTGCAGTGCTTCTCCCAGCACATCTGGATGCGCTGGGTGGGGCTGGTGGAGCAGGAAGGGGTGAACACCGAGTCGTGTAGAGCCTGCTGCAGACTCACGGGGGACTCTGGGGAGGGGAGGAAGAGAACACAGTCATTGTAGAGTATCCCCCACAACACAGCACTGAATGCACAGTGGCAAGTAAACCATCAAACCTCAATCCCAAGAGATCAGATCACTTTATTGGCTATATACAATTTCTTGTTTTAAGAATTTGTCTTTTCGCATACCCCAACTTGCTCTCCATAAGACTGTGTACCAGTATAGGAATATTACTGCTATAGAGCATTAAGGGAACACTAACACAGCAACATTGCTGTACAACAGGGATTCTCACCTACTAGGAGCAAGTTTTCATTCCAGCTAAATCCAACTGCACTGAAGTATAAACACTTTTCTTAGCTCTTAAGGTGATAATTTAAAGAGACGTGTAGTCTGGGTATGACTGCAGCCCACTGTACACTGTAAACCTACACCGCACTGCCATGGTTAAATATACACTGAACACAGACACAGCAGTGTCATTACAGCACAACACGAGCATGCTGTTCCGACACTAACATCCTGAATGCATAGGCACCTCCCTCTATACATGTTTGACTCAAAATTTGTAAGGAAAAAAGATAAACACAGGGATTTGTAAAGCAACCTACAGCACAACAAGAGAAACAATTAGGCGGTTTGGCACATTTCTGTTTGGTGTGGCAGATCAGAAAAACAGTGAGTTAAGTATCGAGTCTTGTACCTTTTCCATCTCCGATTTCCTGTTTGACAAAATGAAGCTTTAAACATTTGGGAATTTGTTCAGACCTGGAGAAAAACAAAAGATTATAAAACTCTGATTATTCTCTGGGAAGAATGCGTCACAACTTCAAAACGAGACAGGCACGGTTAAAAAATAAAGCAACGGATATTTCACAGTGAAAGAGATGAGAAGAAAAGTAATTTCCATAAGATCATAGGGTTTTCTTGTCAGGGAAATATTCCTCACTTTTCTGAAATTTTTTACTGAAATTGAGAAAGAACTGCCATTTTTTTGTCCTGTGTAGTACGGCGTTCAATTACTTTTTGGCTTTGTTGCCACTGTCGCAGTGCTCAGCAGCGCCCCCTATCCTCTCCTCACTGCTATGCATAGGCTCCGACAGGCTCTGGACACTGCTGCGCCCCGACCGCTCACTGTCGCCGCTCCAAGACTTCCTGCCAACACTGAGAACAAGATAGTTACCAGATGGTACCAGGTGCTTCCGTGTTTGTGGCTCCTCCCTTTGGTGCTTTGTGTTGTGCTCCTCTCATTGCCTCTCTGCGGCTGCTCATTTGAAAATTCTACAGCGGAGCATGACACACAATTGAGCTTAAATGCTCAGTAAGTCACTTTAAAAACACTAAAGGGGCTCGGACGTTGCCAAACGCCACAGGGAAGAGGCGCGCTGCCCCACTGACCTGGAGTGGGGGGAGTCGTCCTGCAGCTCGGGCAGGTCAGGGGTGGTGGAGGTGGGCGTCGGCGTCTCGGTGCGCTTGCCCTTGTGCGGCCCAGCCAGCGCCACCGTCCTCTCTCCGCTCAGCCGGTCAGGCAGGAGCCCTTCCTTATTCAGGTTGATCTCGGAGTAGGGGCAGCTGACCGATCTGTCGGGACACCAACAGCGCCGTGAGTTCACCACCACAGCCTCAGTGGTCCGTCGCTACCTACCCTTGCATCTCTGACAGATGCAAAGGGTTGGCTGATGCATTATCAAATAGCTTGTTAAATATTTTTCCATTTATTTTTTTCCCCCAAAAACAAACCCAAGTGGCCTTTCAAGGCCTTAAATAACAAAACCCGAAAAAAGCAACCGAAAACAAAAGGTGCAAAAAAAAAAAAGGAAAAAAGCCAAAAAACCCCCCCCAGCGTGTCTCGTCTCGGTTTTGCACCAGGCTGTAATGGCAGTGAAGGCTATCTGCAACTGGGCTGGTCCCGTGAATCCAGTTTCCCCCAGCACAGCAGGAATGGCATTAAAACACAGGCTGTTCATCTCCAATTAGAGCCAAGTCTCCCAGCAGGGAAAATAAACACAAAGCGGCCCGACTGATTACAGCTTCCTCCAAGGCGAGGGGCAGTCTCCGAGCCCGCTCTTCTCTCCGGACATAGAGGGGCTCTGCCAGAACGGGGTCAGGGTGGAACTCACGTGTAGTGTGTGCCGTACCGGGGTCCCCGGATGTGGCCCACGCCGTTGCACCCCGGAGTGGGGCAGCCCTGCCCCGGGAGCGCCGTGGAGTCGGACAGTCCTGGAACACAGAGGCAGAGCCGCGAGTTACGAACGCAGCTGACCAGAGCGCCCCCTGGGGGCCATCAAGGTCAGTCACTGGCCAGTAACGGGGCAGGTTTGGCATCTCCCTTCCAGGGAGGAACAGAGTGGTCCCTGTACTCAGCCAGAACGTGTTACAGCACCTCCAGTCTCGTATTCGCACTGATGCAGGTACTGATCCTGTGTACAGAGGTACAGAGACACCTGACAGCAAGTTCTTCCAGTGTGAAAGACCTGCCAAAGAAGGATGCACAAAACCTTAACTGTCCTACCCTGTTTGCATCTACCTAATAAGGTAAAGTGATTCGGAATATTCCTTCACATGCAAACCTTGAGTCAGCAGTAATTCTCACAAATGGCACATGGGAGGAAACTAATGGCAAAGAAGATCAGCGCGAAGGGAATTTGCCGGACCTTACCCAGCGGGTTCTGCAGGGGGTGCCCGGTCTTCTGACACCAGCCCACGGGGTGAATGTCGGAGCTGTCTGCGTCCACCCAGTAATCATAGTCCTTACTCCAGCAGTCAAAATGGATCTGCCAGAGTGGGAGAAGGAAAAAAAAAGAGCTAAGTGAATAACTAAATGTCTGATGTGCAGCCTGGGAATGTGATCCTGAACCTGGACCTTTGCTTAACTGTACTTGCAGTCGAGGCTGTAACTCTGCTTCCCCACTGTTCTCAGGACAGAAGTGCCAATGACAGAGGCTGAACTACTGTCACTAGTGCAAATGTTACTGCAACCGTAGCTTGCGCTGAAACTATTTTGCGCTGGTCCTCGCCCTGAGAATGTGCTCCGTCAAAGTATTTGACGGACCGTAAAACAAACGATGAAGCTGCATCACAGACTCCTCAGCATACAAATAAAACACGACACCCTGACACTGGACACAGCACCTGGCACAAAACAGAAGCAACAAACTGCGCATCAGCGTCACACAGGGTCCGATGTATATATTTATACCCAAGGCTGATATTTGTGCCACACACTCTTGAGGAGACAGGATCACTCCTGTGCTTGAGGGCAACTGCTCTAGTACGTTAGGGTCTTGTTATTGAAAGAATTATTTGGGGCACTTGCCGATACCAACTGGACACACTCAGAACACGCATCACAGCTGCACAGGCTGTGTGACATACAGCAGGGCTGTCTGGCCCTACCTTCACCCGGTGGTCCTCAGTGTCCATGATGGTGGCCACTCTGATCAGCATGGGGTTCCTCTTGTCCACGGCTTCCAGCTTCATGTTCACCTGGAACCCGTGAGAGGGTCTCTGGTGGGGGGGATAGACAACATTGCACCACTGATTACCTGCAGGAGACACGCTAGGGACACAAAGCCAGAGAAGCACAGGCCTCAGCCGAGAGGGAGACAGAATGAATATTATGCCAAAATGGCTGGAGTCAGTATGGTATTCCGGTTAGCAGCTCTGATAAGGCGGGAATGCTGGGGGTCTGTTGGAGCAGGGCTTCTCCTCCCAGTACAGCGCTCTGGTTGTAGCTGTGTGCCCCTCCAGCTGACAGGGTTATTAGGGGTCACGCTGTGCTGCAGACTGTCCCTACCTGTTTAAAGGCCCTGGCGGGGGCAGCTTGGGATCCCGTCTCCTCTAGATATTTCTCCCAAGAGAAGCTCCTCGGATGTTTGTATTCTGAAAGAGAGCAGGATACCCAGATTGTCTGTACCATAAACTCAGACCACACAAGGTTGCCTACGCCCTCCACTGAAGAGACCGCCACAACAGCAGAGGTCAAAGGTCAGCCCAATATCAGTGACCACTGCTTTCAGTATCTTATCAACTGGTAACCAACTTAGATGCACAAGACAGACAACAAAAACCTATACTGGACTAGCACTGGTACAAATTAATAGTGGTTTATTACATTCCAAGGTTGAAATACTTCTTCAGGGACTGGATATAATTTCCATCATTGCCCCACTTAAAGAGCCCCTAGAATTCATCACAGATTTTTGCTCATGGCAGCAAAGGAGCCCACAATCTGCCCAACAGATTGTCCAACAGAGCAAAGTACAGGATTAGGCAGGGCGGTGGGAGATGAACTCACCTGCTGGGGCCGTCAGGGTCAGTCCCTGCTCCTGGCAGTAACCCACGGGGTGAATGTAAGGACTGCTGGAGTCACACCTGGAAAAGACCAACAGCGCTCGGTCATCAGCTCTGAAGTCCCGTGGCCTTTGTCATTAACGAAAAGGGAGCCGTGCTTCCCCCGGCAGGGCGGACGTAAAGGCTGCCGATTACTAGAATGTTTTAAGAATTGGCCGGGGGGGCGACAGGCAGCGGGTGGAGGTGGAAAGCGGGGCGCGAGCCCGCCGCGGGGGCGGCAGGCCTCGGCCCTCTCACCAGTAGTCGTAGCTGTCGTCCCAGTTGTCGAAGTGGATGAGCAGGCGGTTGTCTACCACGCCAGCGATGGTGGCCACGCAGATCAGAGAGGGGTTCTTCCTGTCCACTGCCTCCAGTTTCATCCCCGGGCGGAACCCAGACGGGGTGACAGACTGAGGGGAACGGGGAAGATTCGCACAGTTATGACCCCACATCCGAAGGGAAGAAGACAAATGGCCTAAAGGTAAGGAGGCTTCATTCCAATTCCTGCCTGTCCAGGAGGAATTCAACAATGGACACCCTTTTAAAAGTGAAGGAAAGTGCAGAAAATTAAACCTCCATGAAGGCATGAAGCCACCGCTCTGGAGCATATTCTTAAAGGGGTACGAGCGTTCACTGATGACTGCTTAACGACTGAAAGACGGGAGGTTTTCAACAGTCGAAATCTTTCTAAAGAAAAATGGTACTGAGAGTCCGCTGGCTAGAAATCCAATGGTTGGGACAAAATCAAATAATAAAATATAAGAAATAAGAGCCAGGAGATGTGAAACAGCTTCGCGTGAACAGTCAAGCTTCTACTCACAGTGTTGAGACTCTTGAAGAGGTGTTTAGGAGCGATCTGTCCTCTGCAGTTCTTCACATAGGTGCTCCAGTTGAACTCTCCGTCTTTGCACCCTGCACCGAAGCTCAGCCAGTCAGAAAACTTCGCAAAGAATTATCACTACCTCACCGTGGTTAGAGAAACTAGAATGGGCAAATAAAGTACTGATGTACTCCGTGTAATTGCTCCTTGTTTTCTTACATAGGCAGGCTAAAGTAACTGAACCTTTTTAATTCTTCAGAGAAGATTCGAAGAGGGTGTGAAAGTGAAGCACAAGTGGAAACTCTGTGGAATTGCATTTAAAACGGAGAAAAGGGGGCACTTCTTTAAACAAAGGGTTGTGGGGGAATGGAACAAGCTACCTAGCCATGTTGTTGAAGCCGATACCCAGGCTTCTTTCAAGAAACAGCTGGATGAGATCCTTGGAACAATTAGCTACTAATTACCAAATACAGGATGGCCTCTTGCAGCTTCTCATCTTTCTCATGGTGCGAGAAACACTCACCTTTGGGGAGCAGCAGTTTATGCCCTGTCTTCTCACACCAGCCAGCTGGCTTAATGTCCCAGGCGTCTGCATTTACCCAGAAGTCATAGCACTCAGGGTAACCATCGAAGTGCAGTCGTATCCTGTAACCCTGGACCTGCAAGCACAAGAGAAAGTGTTTCACAGACATAAGCCACTCTGACCCACAACAGCATGTATGATATAATCAACACTCTTGGTGAATATTAAACGCTGTACCATTAATGTCAAATCTCTCTTGTTCTGTAAATGACATAAGATGAAGGAACTATGAGCTTAATGGAATTTGTTAGTCTTTTAAAACAGTCAGGTTCTATTTATAATTATTTTTGTGGATATTTCAGTATATATTACTCTTTCACAGTGCCTAAGTGCCTAATGTGTAAAATAAAGCACAAGCGAAAAATGAATCCTATTGCTGAGAGGCACAACAGTGAGCTCCCATAGTGTGCTCATGATGATGATGATGCCCTATTTGACTGGCACACAGGAGAACAGGGGCAGACGAAAAGCCTCGCCCTGTTTAACACTCAGCGCTTTGCCCGAGCTCGTCCCGCTCACCTCTGCCACAGTGAGCACACAGAACAGGGACGGGTGGCAGGGGTCCAGGCCCTCCAGCTTCATGCCCACTTTGAAGCCGTTCCGACTCTGAGGAAACGACTGGTGCTGGAAAACAGACACGCGGGGTCAAGAGGTCAGGGTCAGCCAATGAGGATCCGGTCTGGCCCAGGCAGGGCGAGTGCAGCTGGAGCCCAGATGACCGGCAAGCAGTTGAGAGGTCAACACGGTGAGCAAGGCAATATCTGCCAACAGAATTTCATAAACACAGGATCACAGAGACAGGCATTCTCTAGAAGCCTTTGGCTTCTCTGTAAATTCACCTCATTCGTATTCCCAGTATTTTCTTTAAATCTGCCTGTCAACATCTTTGATCTTAAAGACACTAATCAACATAAAAAATTAGCTTCATGAGAGATGAGAAAAGTGACCGAGCAAACTGTCCTTTTCATCAGAATCAGTTGGCCATCCACAAACTGCTCAAGTGTAGCTCACTGACCTCCAACAACGCCCAACCAAACTGGCCCACTGCACCATACTTGCAGGTCACTGGGGGAGAGACTGTTTAAAGACAAAGACATCCGTCTCCACCTTCTTCCAGATAGGAATGAGGAGGACAGGCCTGAGGAGGCACCAACCTCTTTGAAGAGCTTGACTGGGGCGGCTACAGCCTTCTCCTCTTCCAGGTACGTGTGCCAACTCCACACTTTCTTCTTTGCTGGCTGGGTCATTACTGTGGAAGAACCAATATGAACACAACTGACGCAAACTTTTAAAAAAATACCACACCCACACGCTCTCTTTTCACAGTGCAGTCAAAAACAGAATTTCATCCGGCACGAATGCAGTACATTTCCTTCCCCCTTATTACTACTGTCATCACAACCATTCATGCAATCATAAACTGCTGTGTAAAAGTCTTAAGATACTTTAAACAATCAGGAGTTACAATATGTGCTGTGAGCATCAACAAATTACTCAAAACCTCCACTACTGCTTTCTACCAGTATGACAAATATTACTGATATGGCTTAATTTGGGTGGGAAGACGCCAGACTTGTCATTATGCAAACTTTAATTTACATTGATCAGAATCTTCAAAAACACAATCATAACCATCGAAGGTAAAGTACATATAAGGAGCAAAGATGAAGTTCTGTAGTGCCTAATCTACCACAACTGCCAATCGTAACTAAACCGAGTCATTGTCAGGCCTTTCTTTACATTAACATCTCTTCAGAGTTCCATAAAGCTAAAGGCCTACATTTTGCATTCTTCTTTCAAGAGATCAATATTATAGCATTATTTTTCTGCATAAAGAAGGGAACAGAAAAACTAGACTTATACACAGCAGTACATAGGAAATCGGTGAATACTGGCTGAACAATTGTCATCTTTTATTTCCCAGTGCCTGCAAATGGAACCAGCACTGCATGGTATGACACATCCAGACTTGAAATGATGGTGACAAGTAAGCAGTAACAGTCAAAACAAATTATCTTCGTCCTTATCTCTTGCCCCTGCACATGCCGATACAGAAACTGCACAGAACGCAATGTTCTAGTGACAACAGCACTCTATACGATACGAGAGGGTAAATGCTCTTAAAAAACAGTTTAAGAACTTTCTGCTCTGCTCCACTGTTGGGGAAGAGTTAATAATTGTCAGCTGCCAGCTAGGTGATGCCATGAAATGTCAAGAGCTGTGCATCCTGACATGGAGGTACGCTCACACAGGACCGCCCCATCTCTCAAGAGAACGTTTCTCCACAACACAACTCTTTACCTTGCCTGGCCTGCTTGGCAGCTCTCCTTCCTTTGCCCGCCTTGGACTTTTCCTACAAGTAAAAAAAAAAAAAACAGTCGTAAAACTTCCTGAAATGCATCAAATGTATGAAGCAGTCAACAGAAGAAACCAAAAATCTAGCGTCAGCCTTTCTTCTCCATTTTGGTCAGCAAGAAGAAAATTGCGGAAAAAAATGTTCATTTAAATGAGAAAATGATTTGTGGTGTCCAATCCAAGAGAAGTACATATTTATAAGACCTTCAGTTAATATCTTCCCTTCTGGAGTTTCACAAAGAAACATTTCCTCAGACCATAGTTACTCAATATGTTGTAGCTTTCTCAAATTTAACGTGGATGGCTATGATGGAGAGTGCCTTATTTCAGCATCAAGGCAAAAACAAAACATCTTCTGGAGCTTCAGATTTAGAAAATGAATTGGAGGTGAGAGGGGGTATCAAAGAGGAATCCTCAGTGTTTTGCAGTCAAGAGTACAAAGTGAGGGACAGAGCTGATAGCAGCAAGATTCTAAAACCTCCTCCTCCTCGGGGTTCTCCTCGTCTTCGTCACCCGAGTCCATGTACAGCTTCCTCTTCCTCCTCACACGCTTTCCCAGCCTGTCGCTCTCGTTGCCTGGGTTACCGCTGGCCCCGCCTCTGTCTCTCTGCTCCACAGGGCTGGCCCTGCAACAACAGCACCGAGCACGCTCCTTACAGAGGGCAGTCTACAAAGAGGACATCCAAGCATCCGGGGGACACAACCATATACTCTCTTTCCTCACATGCAAACCAACACAACATGATCAATTCCTGGTTCTACTTCTGTCACTTCGAGCTATATTAAAAGAGCTTGGAGGTACAGCAATACCTTCACACTTTTTGTACCAGGAACCTTGTAATCAGAAATAAAATCCGTCTCCTTGCTTTCTTTGCAAGTAATCTCGAGTGTCACATGCTGAGCAGTCTTGTCTTATAACCCTGGGAGTTTCCTTTAACATCTTTACTTTTGATGTGATTAAACATCACTTATTTGAAATGTAAACATTCTCTGGTGCTTCAGGCTGGAATTCTTCAGTCTGGCCTAATGGAGAGGTTTGGATAAGAAGGATCATTTTGTCTACCCTTATTAGAAGCGTGAAAGTTGATGCTCCTCGTTAGAAAAAAAGAAAATTCTCCAACAAAGAAGCTTTAGGAAAATCTGCATACACCTTAACCAGCTCAGGTGGTCAGGAAACACTCATATTGCAGAATGGCAACTAGTAAACGCATACTGAAAATGAAAAGGTGAAAAAATAATCTTGAAATGAACATTTTTAAGCCATCTGCAGAGTTAAAATGGGAACTGGGGTTATTTGGGAACCAACCAGATTGGATAATAGATGCTGGGTGAATCGCATGAATCTTGTTGCAGAACTAGTGCTCTGTACCTGCAGCTGGAGGGCTGTGCGCAGGCAGGGCTGCAGAACTTGCCCTGGATGAAGCTGTCCTGGCTCCCAGAGATTCCACAATAGCCACAGCTGACCACCACCACGCTCGGGGCCTCCTCCAGAGCCTGGGACAGCAGCTCGGCACCTTGGGAACGACAGGGAAAGCAGTCAGTTAGCGGAATCTGAACATCGTGGTGGCCCCACAGTTTTAGCACCTGGAGTCATGAGACTTGATACTGGATTTAAACGGGAACTGCAATGGTATTTTAATCCATCAGGGTTAGAAAGTATCAACATTGATGAGCAAAACGTACACAGTAACCTGTAAAACCTCCAATCCACATCACAAAATAGATTAAATTTCCCGCGATTCAGAATGTGGCCTTATTACATTGCAAAGAAGAGTGCTTGTGGATACATCTCTTTTAATCTGATGCAAAACATTGCTCTGGACTTCGAGACAACAAATACTACTTACTCGTAACCTTATTCGGACCATAACTGCATCTGTCCTAATCAAATTTAATCAATTATTGAAAAGCC